GACATGGGATGCCCAGTAAACTAGCCACTCCAGTGGCAAAATCTTAACATCTCAACCTTGTCCTTCTCTCTCTAAAGGTGATCAGGCTCAGCTTCCATAACATCCTCTATTAGTGCATTTCATTTAGTTCTGGAACTAATCTGGCAGTTTTGTTTCAGATATTTTGAACTATTCAAGGTTATGCACTTGCTACACCATGTGGGGGGCTCCACATAGGGACCAGGTACTCGAGTGACTTGCCTAACATAACAGATTTAGTAGTTTTTCACATGCTATTCAAGTTATACGTTTATATGTACCTCACGTGGTGTGTGTGTGATATTAACCTCATATACTTTAAGTTTCAATGGAATTTGATTTCTGTACTCTGTGTCCAGTCTTCCCCAACTTTCTCCAATCTTCATCATCGTATATTGGTTTGGATTTTACTCCAGCAGCAACTTGTTAGATGATTTCTGCAGCTTAAGATCTTCCTATAGCCAATATCTCTCCTTCCTTGTTCTCACTCTTAATTATTTTAACGCTGTTATCAAATAAACACATAAGTATACATAAATACCAGCACACAGGAGCTCACGACGACGTTTCGGTCCGACCTGGAACATTTACAAGTCACAATGACACAACAGATTTTAGGTTATGTTAGGTAAGTTTGTCAGGAAACAGGACAAATTTTTCTTGACACTAGTCTTAGTCATATTATGACTCACAACTGGAGTTTTTCGTCATCTGATCGAAGCCTTCCCCTGGCTTACCCGACCACCCTTTAAAAATTAAGGTTATAATTATAACCACCAAATCTAATTACACAAGAGAGTGAAGGAGCCAGTATATATAGCAGAGTTGACAAGCTACGGGATCGTTTGTGTCCCCCGTCGTCTATATATACTCTCTCCCTCACTCTTTCATGCGACTTAATGGGCCAAGTCCGACCGAAACGCCGTCGTAAGTTTCTGTCTCCTATCTGAAGGTTATCTGTGTGTTGTTCCAGTCAGGGTATTGTGTCTTATTGTTCTTCAAGCACACGAGACCCAGTTCTTTCAGGTACGATATTTAATGCCTTGTATCTCTGCTCTTCCTTCTAAATTCTCAACAAGTCTCTAATGACGTACTATAATATTTTTTGGCAGTCCAGAAAGACGCAGTCTGTGTCATGTGTTGTCTCAGTGTCCCTCAAAGCTGCAAGCTCCAACGACAAGATTTTCTCCTAAGATCGTGCTACTTTTCTCTCTAGAATACAAAATGATTATAACCATAACCCTAATATTTCAAAGGGTGGACGGGTAAGCCAGCAGAAGGCATCGGTCAGATGACCAAAAACTCCAGCTGCGGGTTATCATATGACTAAGAGTCGCGTCAGGAAACACTTGTTCTGTTTCCTGACAAGTCTTAACTTAAGTCTTTCCTCCAGGTGTACCAATATCCTCTTCTTTATAATCTACTCTGCTTATTCTCACTTCTAAATGTGGTGGCCACACTACTGATGTCTGTCTGTTGATAGCTGGTCTTTCTTGGCAGCTGGTCTGTTCTTTTAGGAAGCTGGTCTGTCTTTTTGGCAGCTGGTCTGTTTTTTGGTAGCTGTTATTTTCTGTCTTTTGGCAGCTGTTGCTTTCTGCTTTTTGGCTGCTGTTAATTTTCAGTGTTTTTTTCCCGTCCTCTAAACACCGACAAGTTGTCTGGTCCAGTTGTTTTTCTGTCCCGTTAAACTCCCTCGGTAATTTCATAATTTCTTGTGTGTGGATGTTTTCTAGCTCCTGCTGGTGTGTCCTGCCTCTCTTGCTCTCACCTGGGTCTCAGTTTTCTCCCCCTCAGTCTTACCTGGAGGGAATTTCGGGTATGATGCAGTCCAGCTGGGCTTGTGAGGTCTCTGGGGAGACCTAATTTAACCAATTATATGGTCACACCTGCCTTAGCAAATGTCGGGTAGTCACGCCCACGTCTGAGGTCTTTTGTTCTTAACGGCGTCAGACCTCGGCGTCAGGTGCCAAGGCAAGGTGTGACCATATAATTGGTTAAATTAGGTCTCCCCAGAGACCTCACAAGCCCAGCTGGACTGCATCACACGGGGGTCAACGCCCCCCACGGCCCGGTCCGTGACCAGGCCTCTTATGCTAAGCTTTTCACAGACTCTTCCGTCATCCTTCATTACCGCCAGTCTCCACTCGTTCAGATTTACTTACCACTTGTTTCATTTACAGTTATTCTTTTTGTGTGGCTCTGCAGTATTCTTGGTTCAATTTTGACCCTTTTTTTTTTCAAGCTTTTTAGTGTTTTTGTGTATTTATTCGTAGCTCTTCTGATTTTCTCCTCTGTTCTCCGTGTTCCTATTTCTTCACTTCCTCTTCCTACTTTTTCCCCTCTACATTTCTAGTTCATAATCTACCTCCAGGTGCCTCTTTCCTTAACCTTTCCACTATCTCAACTTCAAATTTTCATGACCTTTACTCATTTCCCTTCATTCTCCGTATTTGCTTTATTTCCTTCACCAGTTTCCATTCTCTTACTATTCTTCTTGAAAAAAATTCGAGATTTCTATTTTTTTCTCTGACTTTTAACCGAGTCTTGTTTTCTACAGCTACGAACTTTCTGACTCTCCCTGACAGCCTCTATACATAACATTACACTATCACCTATCACTTTCGTTTTGTTTATTTCCATGACTTTTATGGTAATCTTATATTAAAAAAAAAAATCACGGAATGGCCGGGGCTTGATACCCATGACGAGCGAGTCCTAAAATGCACAGGCCATTGCGTTCAGTGATTCGTTGGCAATCGTGTTATTACGATTTCGTGAGTCAATCATATAGAATAATCCCAGTACATTAGTAAATTTATTGTATCGTCTATGAAATTCATCACAACTCTTCAACCTTGGCGTGGGAACTCTGGTAACACCGCTGGCTTCACCGCTTCTCTATGTGAACGTGGTAGCGTGTTAATCCTCTGCTTCCTTGGGAAGCCCCGACAGTTAACGTTTGTTTCTCTTCCCTTCCATACCCAAAGCTTCACACATCTGCTACAAACTCTCGTTCTTTCTTTCTCTAGCACATCTATTTGTATTCACATGCTAAAGCACCGAAAACCGACACAAATACCCAGAGAAGACTACGATATGCGGCAGTGTTCTCCAGACAGAGTGATTTAAGTATGATTAATAAAGCTTTGAACATTTTCACAATAGAATTATATAACACACTTGCCACTATCATACACACTGATGGGTATTTAAGTGGATGGTGATTTTGTTTCTTAGAACCCTTTCAAAAATTTTTATGTGGGACGTTAGTGTAATTGGTCTGTAGTTCTTTGCAACTGGTTTATTGCCGCCTCTGTGGAGTGGGGCTATGTCCGTTGTTTTTAGTGAGTGTAGGATGACCCCTGTGTCCATGCTCCCTCACCATAGAATACTTAAGGCATGTGAGAGGGGTTTCTTGCAGTTCTTGATGAACACGGAGTTCCACGAGGCTGTGCCTGGGGGCAGAGTGCATGGCCATGTTATTTATTGCTTTTTCAAAGTCTTGTGGTGTTAGGATATCAATTTTTTTAATTAACCAAATTTTGAGTCTCAATAAAAAAAAATAATTTAGATTGTCGACCCTTAGTCTGATTAACGGCTCACTAAACACTGAGTCACATTGGCACTTCAGTATCTCGCTCATTTCTTCGCTGTCATCTGTCTAAGTCTCATTTAAGGAGAGGCTCAATACTGGCTCTTGTTTTTGACCTAAATTTGGCACAAGGAAAGAAGGATTTTTTTTCCCCAATTTCATTTATGTTTTTTTTTGTCTCGTGTGTGATTCCTTAAGTTTAAGTTCGATATTTGCTATTTCTCTGACCAGTGACTCCTTCCGTATTTCAAATATCCTGGTCCCTTTCAGCAGCTCTTACTACCCTCAGTCATGTGATTACTTTAACTATAATCTTTAACAGACTCCTATGCAATCTCTCTTATGAATTCTCAGGTTAGTTAGATACAGAGTAATTTAGCTTAGTATCAATAATTACCTATAGCCCAGCCCATAAGTCAGCAACATTGGGCACTCGCTTGTTCCGCCCACCAGTGTGGACAGCTGACCCACGATGGTCACTCACAGATAGATCTTTGCAGGCAAACTTCGCCTCGTAACGACAGGTTATCACGTACAAGCCTAGCAAAAAGGATGACTTTCTCTCATGGTCATTAAAATTCACTAATCATATTACAAATGTAGATGACACTGCCTTTCACTGTCACATTACGTAGTGACGGGATGACTGATCTTGTACATGAAGCCGGGTGATGCAAGGTGACTCATGCATGTATCTCATGATGTCCCTAACTCGGGTTAATAACTTACAGACCTCACACATCAGGATGGTAAGGGCTTGTTACCAATACCATTGAATCCGCATTAATATGTATGCAGATGATTACTGCTGACATGTCCTACAGGTCACCCAGAGATACAACTCCACCCGGGAACGCACACTGCCTTGTGTACAAACAGAGGCAATCCAGTATATCCGGGGATGGGATGGCAGCTTCGAGGACTGGATTCAGTTAATGACCTGATTGGATAATTAACTCATCAGTCTTCACTAGGTGCCAGATCAACCAGGCTGTGATATGTGGGGCAGCGGCCCTCCAGCAGCAACAACCTGGTCGACCAGGCCAGTACCAGAGGAGCCGGCCCATGGCCAGGCTCCGAGAGTAGTGAAACTCTTAACTCTTCAAAGGTATATGAAAGCCATAACGATACACATCCCTTTATTCTACACAGCAGTGGTAGGTAGAGTCACTAGTGTAAAAACCCACTAATGGACGCAGGTCGGGCCTATAAGTTAGGCAAACTTTGAAAAATTTAGTGTATCCCTTCATACTTGCTTTTCGTGTGGTGTTGCAAAGTTTCTGTGGCGTGTGTTGAAGATAAAGACAATATTTTAGTATTTATAGATTTTTTAACATGGTTTGTAGATGTGTTGACAGTGGTTAATATGATTGATTTTGTTGTGTTGCAGGTGACGATGGTGGCGAGGCGGTAGCAGTGAGGTGCTCCTGTGGACGAGGTTGTCCGTGATGGCGGCACTGGCCCCCGCCGCCCTCAACTACCTCGCCCAAACTTCAGGTTGAGTTGCACTTCAGCCTCAGTGCAACACACTGGTGTATACTTGATACTGCTTTCCGTTAAAGTTGTGTTTAAGTGTATACCATAAGTTACTCAAAGAAAGTGGAGTCTGGAAATGATGAAAGCAGCAGCGAGTGCTTGAGGCTTGCAGAAAGTGATTGTGTTGTTATATGTGCAAGGTGGGCGGTGAGAGAGGGTATGAGGGCGGCCGATGGTTCCTCCTGACGTACAAGTTGCCCAATTTAGCTCTGAATGGCACCTCAGATTGGAGAAGTTAGCTAACCGTCCATGAGAAGCAGTTGGTGGGTGGATCAGTTGGTTAGTGAGTGGATCAGTCGGTTGGTGAGTAGTTGCTTCCACGACACACGAGCCTTACATGTTGTTACGGACGGAGACTTTGTTGAGGTGATGAGGTCGAGTATGGGAGTGATGATACCAGCGTGATGACCACACTCTGCACTACCCCAGAGTCTCTACCCTCCCCCAGGGCAGCAGACGCTGCCCCAGGCTTCTCTTCTCCCCCTGAATCATCACCTAGACCCTACGATACCCCATCTTTCCCAGGGGATGCACCGCCCCCAGCCTACACCGCCCGCGGAGACACCGATTACGAAGTGCCCTTCTTTACCGTGGCGCACTACCGCACGCCCACGGCGCCCACCACATACGAATACGCGGCTACCCACGCCGGCCTGCCTGAGGGCGTGGGCGAGGCGCTCTACAATGGTGGGCTCGATAGTACTGCTATGTCCCCTGTGGAAATAGCCTTTGGGGGCGCCATGACTGACTCAGGTGGGTGGTGGGCGCGAGCAGAGGACACCACGCCCACTCACACGCCAGCCCGCTCTCCTGTGGGCGTGCCCGGTCCCCCGCCTATCCGCCCCCAGCCGGATTACGCCCCTCCAGCACACCCACCAGGAACCTTCATCCGCAGGGTGTACGGCGCGCACGACCGCACGCCCGTGGGTTGCCTGCACGCCGCCGCAGGCACGCCCCCACGGGGTCAGAAGCCCATCCAGCTGAAGAGTACCCAACAGGTGGGCAGCAAACCCACCCGCACCCACGATGACACCCCAGTCAGGGGTTCAGTGGACTTTGTGCTGGACCAGCCCACCCGCACCCCTAACAGAAGTAGGAGTGGGTCGAGGCGTGGTACCACCACGCCCACCACCCGCAGCACGCCCACCACGCCCGGAGCTCAGGATGACGACCACCCCACCAAGGTCGTGTGGGCGACGGAAGACCCCAGGACCACCACCCCCTCCCAGGACCCCTCCCGCCCTGGGTCTGGAGCCGAGGCAGCCGGAGGACCAACAAACCCGGCGGGGGACGTCAGTGGTATGGACGCCAGCGGTGTGTACGAGGACGCTGGCGTCAGCGATGCGGCTGACAGACTGGAGTCAGCCCTTCAGTCCAGCTCCTCCTCAGAGGTGGTGGTAACCCCCAGGACTCCAAGGACCCCAAGGACCCCCAGGAGCAAGTCCAGGTCAGTAAGATTAGTTACATTAGTCCAGGTCAGTAGCACTAGTTACATTAGTCCAGGTCAGTAGCACTAGTTACAGTAGTCCAGGTCAATAGCAATAGTCACAATATTCCAGGTCAGTAGCATTAGTTACAATAGTCAAGGTCAGTACCACTGGTTACAATAGTCAAGGTCAGTAGCATTAGTTACAATAGTCAAGGTCAGTACCACTGGTTACAATAGTCAAGGTCAGTAGCATTAGTTACAATAGTCAAGGTCAGTACCACTGGTTACAATATTCAAGGTCAATAGCAATAGTCACAATATTCCAGGTCAGTAGCACTAGTTACAATAGTCAAGGTCAGTACCACTGGTTACAATAGTCAAGGTCACTCTCACCTTCCCATGGTAGCTTTCTCCTAGCACTAAATAACAAACACATCGCCCAGACTAAGATCACTAAGATCCCTAAGATCACTGGAAGAGTGATCTGTTTGTTGTAATCAGACCTAATTATTTTACCTTGGACGCTGACCTCGTGGTAAAGCTTAGCCAGGGCATCAGAGCAAGTGGTTCCAAGCAGGCAGGTCACTGGCAAGAACACACCAGGTCACTAAAGTGGTTGTACCAGTCGAGTTACTATGGAAAGACCACCATTACTGTAGTGGTATACAGCAGTGTTCACCAAAGTGGTGAGTATAGGTCCCCTAAGGGTCGTTGGGACTATTGAAAGGGCCGGTAAGTGGGTGGGGGTCAGTTCATAGTTGAGGCTGGTTTTAGCCATGCAAATGCATTTCTAAGCAGAGGAACAGATTAAACCCTGAAGAGCTTGGTGACTTACCACTAAAACTCACTAATCAACAAGTATCAGTGTCCTTGTTGACGCTCGTCAGATACATCAGATACATCCTTCCCATTAACAATATCAACAGTTTCAGTAAAAAACGGTTTGTTAAATGTTATATTTTTCATAACTTAAATTTTACCTATTTTTTTATGAAATTATTCTTATTCATAGTACTATTAAAGTACTGTTTATTAAATTATTTATGTAATAAATGCTTGGGGGTCGATGAACAATCTGAAGCTTCATGAAGGTGTGGAGGAGTTAAGTCTAGGGAGCCCTGGGGTACAGTATCGACAAGATGAGGGAACACACATGTGTAACACCCGGGCATCTTTATTTGAAGACGTTTGACCAACAAGTGGCTCTATCAGTTTAATACAGAGATGATGTGCGAAGACAGTAGAAGATGAGGTAATCAGTCCCTCAGCCTGGAAGCTGGTGTTTAGTAGTTACGTGTTGATGATTCTGAACCACAGGCAGGAGGATGGACTCTTATATTCTGGCTTTTACGTAAGATTACATATTTTTACCTACAACATACATCAGATACATGGAGACTAAGACACTGAGCACCAGCTTACAAGCTGAGGTACTCATTATCTCATCTTTATGCCTTTGTATATTTCTGTATTGAACTGATAAAGTTACTGATTGGCGAAACTTCTTTACTCGATGATCCCCAGGTGTTGCACAGGTGTCTAATCCCTTTCAAGACGCTACCAGGTTACCCCAGTATTTTTCTAACCTAGGTCACTTACATAATATAAATGGCACACAATACCGACAAGCTGGTAAGACTGAAGGATGCTTCAGGAGGTCAACGTCCTCACTGCCTGGACCCAAAGGATGAAGGTGTAGTCAACACGCAACCCAACATACGAGCCACAGCTTGGCTGGTCAGGCACTGATTTGAGGAACTTGTCCTGTTTCCTCATGAAGATAGCTGGAGGTTTCTTGATAATTACCCTTAGGCACGGAGAGAGGATTGTGAAGAGTAGGGGACCTCTGACACTCATCAAATTCTCTTAGTGTGCTCATCGACCTCCTCCTTTTTAGTTGAGATATTTTCACCGTCAGCCAAGTCTTGCGTTATCATATGGAGTGATTTCAGTGTTCAAATTTGGGTCCATTCCCTCCAGGTGTAAATTATTACGAATCTTTCTCGCCTACGTTCCAAGGAATACAGTTGAAGGGAACTCAAACATTCCCAGTAGTTCAGATGCTTGACCGAGTGTATACGGGCAGTGAAAGTTCTCTGATTTCCAGCTAAGCAATCTAGCCTGCTGTTAAGGAGGTTGTCAGTATGCAGTAGTATTCCCGCCTGGAGAGAACGAGTGACATGAAGAGTATGATCACTGGCTCATCATTTCGCCTTGAAAGCTCTAATTATCCAGCCTATCATTGTCCTTGTGGTAACAATAACAATACAGTTTTGATCCTTGAATGAGAGATCTTCTGACATTACTTCCAGGTCTCACACATGAGCATAACCCGAACTAGTATGGTTTTAGAGCAGGACGATCATGTCTGTCACAGCTGCTGAACCAATATGACAGAATTACGGAGGTACTGGAAGACGACCAAAACGCAGATGTGATTTACACAGATTTTGCAAAGGCGTTTGACAAATGCGATCATGGGGTGATAGCGCATTACGGGGAAGGTAGGCAGATGGATTTCCGGTTTCCTAACACACACAACACAAAAAGTAGTTGTGAACAGGGCAAGATCCAGCATCAGCGAGGTCAAAAGCTCAGTGCCCCAAGGCACTGTCCTGGCACCTCTGCTGTTTCTCATCCTTATAGCAGATATAGATAAAAACATCCGTCACACTTTTGTATCATCATTTGCAGATGACACTAAAATTTCCAGCTGCTTAGGTATGGAAAGATTGAAGAACTCAAAAGGAACACTATTTACAAAACTCAAGAGGGTCACCAAATAGAACGTAAGGAACACGTAAAAGACCTGGGAATAATTATGTCAGCGGACCTTTCTTTTTAAGACCATAACAAGACAAAGATCACAACAGCTAGGAAGATGACTGGGTGGGTACTGAGAACTTTCAAAACAAGGGAAATAATGCCGATGGTGGCACTCTTCAAATCATTAGTGCTCCCTCACTTAGAATATTGCTCAGTGCTGACGGCCCCGTCCAGGGCAGGAGAAATATCAGAGCTGGAACAAATACAGAGATCGTTTACGGCTCACATTGAGCCAGTAAAGCGCCTAAACTACTGGGAACGCCTGCAAGTCTTGAACATGTACTCATTGGAGAAGAGGAGAGAGAGGTACATGATAATATATACCTGGAAGGTACTCGAGGGCTTGGTCCCAAATCTGCACACTGCCATAACAACATACTGGAGTGAGAGATATGGAAGGAAGTGTAAAATAAACCCAGTGAGGAGCAGGGGTGCGGTGGGGACAATAAGGGAACACTGTATCAACATCCAGGGTCCCAGACTATTCAACATCTTACCAGAAGATGTCAGAAACACTGCTGGAACAAGTGTTGAAGCCTTCAAGAGGAAACTGGACAAGTATCTTCACCAGGTGCCAAATCAACCAGGCTGTGATGGATATGTGGAGCAGCAGGTCTCCAGCAGCAACAGCCTAGTTGACCAGACAAGCACCAGACGAGCCTGGCCCATGGCCGGGCTCCGAGAGTAGTTAACCTCTCGAAACTATTCAAAGGTATATATCAAAGGTAAAGGTATGGGACCTTTCCTGTGCTGAATAATTTGAGTCTGTCCTGTATTCTGTTACAATATTTCTTATATTCTTCTATAAAGAAACAAATGAAACTCATTGCCCGATGACCTTTGGAAGACTTGACTTATATCCGCCTGAAGATTCGTCCTGTCTTCGATGGACGCCGCTCAGATCCTAGTGACATAAGTATAGGATGTTAGTTACGGTGTTATGATGTATGTTTTTGTCAGTGTCGGATATGACTGAAACAGTAGTGGAGCAAGAACCATACGTTGAAGAGAGCTGTTCACTGGGGTAACCTGCCGCCACTAATATCAACATGAGCGTAGCATAATTAATTTTCTCCGACCCTTTGGAGTTAATGCAAAATGAAGCCCTCAGATTTTTTCTTGGCTGTCCTAAATTTACCAAGGTTCTTAATGTGAGGAAGGAGCTTGGTGTTTCTAGTATCAGTGATATGATTATTGAGATTAACACTGTTCCTTGGTATTAGAATGTTAAGAAATGAACCAGACACTCACTATTAATTTACTAAATGTCTAGAATAGATGTAATTGTATTAAGTTTTATAACTTGCACGAACTGTTTCACCTCTCTATGGAAGATGTGTTCATTTAATATCACATACCTGCAAGTCTCTCCCAAGAAGCTCATCACTAGTAATACCTTCCTTAAATCACTTGTCAAAGCAACTGTTCAGAAAGAAATTTCTCTTCTAACTAGCAGTAATAATTTACCACAAGTTATATACACTGATGGCTCTAAGCTGGAGTCTACTGGCAGGGCTGCATCTGCTCTTGTTGTCACCTCCCTAGTTAAGAACGATAGCAACTTTATTGACTTAGGTATCAGAATTAACAACTGGGCGTCTACACTGCATACTTAATTGTTTGCCATCCTAATGGCGCTAAAGTTAACTTACGACACTGAGCTTGACTCTGTCATTATTGCTAATTCTGTGTCATCACTGAAGACTCTTGGCTCACATAATCACTCAGTGGAGGATCCAGGTACAGATACTTAAAAATCCGGGAAACAGGAATTAACGTACAATTGTTATGTATTCAGTCACACATTGGATTACTCCTTCATGATCAAGTTGATGTGTTAGCCAAGAAAATTACTCGGAAAGATAATGTAGAATATAACTTTGGTGTATCTAGCATTAGGAATAATATAAGGAGAGAAGTAAATAATGAAACAATGTTATAGGAATGCAGTTAGAAGCCTGAGAAGATCTATAACCCACTATAACATGAACGTAGATAAGTACGTTTATGGAGCAACTTGCAATGTGAACAGATTGACTGATGTTGCAATAACCAGGCTTAGGCTTGGTTACAAGTACTTCTTTCAGTCTGGCAGACACCCAGATGATCAAACCAAATGCAAAACATGTGGTCACTCTTATAGTCACTATCTTGAACACATATGCTTAATAGTTCACTTATCGAGGAATATA